CTAATATGCCTACCTTCCCCCAGCAGTCGTAGTGTGCTCATTTCTGGATGATAGGACGTCTGGTAGGAGATAGGGGCCTGTCTTCGCGTCTATTTGCCGGCACACCGACATTTCCGCTGGTGGCGGATAGTGGAACGGCCCTTCGCACAATAAACGGGGTCCCGGGTTAGACAAAAAGCGGTCGTGGGCCATGTGGCAGAGGAACTCCCCTTGGACCCTGATCCGACAGACCAGTCAATTATGGAGGGGGGGGGGTCATAAGTCATGGGGTTACGACGTGGCCACTATTGTCAGCCATCTAATAAGGCTCCATCCGAAGCCGTCCAGCGCAAATTTGCGGCCGATGTAGCTAGTGAGGTGGAATTAGGCATCCACCTTCGACTCCGGCAAGAAATCATTCCTTCAATGTTTCACCTCACGGCAGCGCTGTTCGGTGACTAACAGCCTAAGGGTTTGTTTTTCGACGACCAGCTTGTCACAGTCCTCACATTCTGCTTGAACTTAAAGGGAACCAATGACACCGATGGGAGAAATTTCTGCAAGTTGTGGTTATATAGCCCCACCTGATGGACATAATACATTTGGGGTTGGAGGTTGAGGTTAGGATTAGGGGTTAGCACAACTATTTCCCAACCACTCAAAGTGCAACCACGCATTCCAAGTAGCATTTATTTTGCATACAACTAATTGACCTCGTTGTCTGTGCGTTCCCCGATCCAACCTGTAAAAACCCCCAATTACCACCAGTCCTGTATTACAGGTGGCTGGAGTTTGTTTACTTCGGGTGGGGCTGCATAACCACATGTGAACGAAATTTCCTGCTCGGAAAAAACACAAATACACCAAAAATCTGGACATTTTATCCTCTGTAGTTCTGGCAGAATCCTAGTGAGTGGACTTCTACTGGCAACGAGAACGATACTCCCTCCTTTTCACAGCCCATTCTTTCCGCCTACCGCGGAGGCTGCTACCGTGAGCGCTTGGTGCTTGTAAGCACAAGAACAAAGGAGTGGAGAGGTGAGGTGTACTTAAGGTTGGCGTCTGTTGTAGGAGGTGTCCATGAAGGACAAACGAGGCGAGAAGACCCTCCCCTGTTAAGCAGCAGGAGAGGGGAAGGTTATTAAGAGTCCTCGATTTTCCCCTTAATCCGGATGGTCAGTAGAACGAAATGTTTTAGACACTTGTACGCCAGGATACTGTGACTGAATCGACCTTGGTTTGGACAATATCTGCTTCTGGATACCAGGGATTAAGCCCGAGTCAAGTGGGAAGATAGCCGCTTACGAGGACAGGCTAGAGAAGGGGTCTGCGCGGTGGCAAAAGACTTGCTCGTTAGCTTTAAAACAACATGATTTTTTTTCTATAGTATTTCATTCGCACGAAACGCTAGCATCCACGGTCTTTGTTTCGGATGATACCTGACATAAAAGTGTAATATTGAGCTCAAATTCTTTAGCCAGTAAGTTAGTGAAATAATGCATTGGTGTCATCCAAATGAAACTCAGGAACTAGCAGGACGGACTAATGGTACAAGTTCAAGGCGAGTAACGAGTCCAAGCCGCCATTTCTCAATAATTTTCTGCCTGGCGGCGAATGTTCGGATTCCGGGTGTATTTACGACTAAAGAAGAAAAATCCTGGTCGGGGGTCGGAAATATTTGCTCATTATTCTGAAACTCAAAGACTGATTAGGTCCCAAGTAGCAGTCTGAGGTAGAGCGTTGCATCCCGCACCTAGGCTGCTGCGCAGGTCAGACCGATCGCATGCTCGGATCGCGCATACATGAACTTAAGCTGACTGCGAGACCGACGACTAATATATTGCCAGTGAGTTCAAATTCGCGGCTGTCAATTTAATCGCCTAGGCTGATAATAGATTGAGCCCTGGGCATCGGATGAGAACTCAGTCGATCGATGCGTCAATCTGCCGTCTGCGTACAGAGTCCTGTGCAGTTGCCTCCAGACCTGCATTCTTGATTGTTGATTGGCTAATACCCTCTATTACTGTCGCCTTTTTCGTTGCTGATATTGTCTGTGCCCATGGACTCCTGCAGAAGTTCGAAAACTCTGAATAATAAGTAAATTCTTCCAGTGCTCGGCCGACTTCCTCCTCCTCCTCCTCCTCCTCCTCATTATCATCATCATCATCTTCTTCTCCTTCTTCTTCTTTTTTTTCTTCTTTTTCTTCTTCTTCTTCTTCTTCTTCTTCGTTTTTACTTTCACCTTTGTATTTTTGTGGGGGTTAATCGGGAAATCCGAGTTTCCGGAGCCTTTTTTAGTGGTGTTTCAATGATGAGAAAGTTTAAAAACGCACGGCATCCAGTCACACGCGGTAAAGCCCGAGGAAAAAGTTAGTTTTCTCTCTAAATTCTGAATTTAAACCAGAGTCCCATATATTTCACGACAGATGCAAACGCAGTCACCCGCTATGCCCGAAGTGCCGCTGGCAATGGATTCTTTTCCCCCGGCTGTCAGCCTGGACCAAACATGTGTGGAAAGCCTCGTTACCGGGCAGGCCTTTATATTAAAAATTTGGCCAAAAGTTGACACTGTCCGGATTTTATCCAGCCACTACCCCGAAAAATGAACTTTGGCACCTTTGGTTGTACGGTCGGCCCACGCTGAAGGTCAATGTCTTTTACGCCTGATAGTTCGCGATCCCAATCCTCTGTAACCTTGAGGTTGAAATACATGCGAAAGGGGAGCGGAGAGAGAGAACAGGTGGAGAATTCCTTGTTGACTTTCCAGAGTGCTTTACGCACATGATAAGTCAGCTCCACGACGGGATGATTCCGCGCGTCACGGACAACGTGACAATTTCCGAGGCATCCAAAGCGGCTAATAAAGTGAAGCCGGACTGCCCACACACACCCGCCCTCTCCAGCCTCATATTATCTGCTATGTTGATGGCTGCCTACCGTGATGAGCACTCTGAGATACGCATAGCCTATGGAATTGATGGGTATCTTCTCAATGGCGGGCGTATGCAGGCCCGAACGGGGCTATCTACGACAACGGTCCACGACCTGCCCTTAGCCGACGACTGCGCGCTCGACTCTACGATTGAAGAAGTCTTGCAACAGAGCATGGGTCTCCTAGCCCCCAGATACGCTCAATTCAGACTGACCATCCATGCGTGCAAAACGGCGATTGTGAATCAGCCGCCACTGAACGCGAACTACAACTCTCCTCGGATCACTGTCAACGACAGACAACTCCGAACCGTGAACCACTTCGCCTATCTAAGAAGCACACTCTTGCGCGGCACAAACATCGACTATGAGGTTGTCCGTCGGCTTTTCAAGACCAGTCAGGCTTTCAGCTGGTCGCAAGCCTCCCTGCGGAATCGTCAAAGCCTTCAATTAAACACCGAACTGAAGATATATAAGGCCGTTGTTCTGAAAATTCTTCAAAACGAGCGGAGCCCTAGACTATCTACGCAAAAATTCCAGGAAATCAACCACTTCCATGTCAGCTACCCCAGCAGAATACTGAGGCTGTCGCAGGACATGACCCCGGACATGGAAGCTCTAGAACGCACCAGAACCCCCAGCATCCACGCCATGTCGAGCCAGCTGTAACTACGATGGAGCGGCCATCTGGTGAGGATGGACGACGCTGGCTTACCAAAACAACTCTTCTACGGAGATGTCGCCACGAGTGCTCGCTTACTGGGAGCTCCAAAACGACGCTAAAAAGACACTTTGAAAAACTCTGAAGCGATTGCATATCAATCCAGAGACCTGGGAAGAGCTCGCCAAGAGCACACCGGCCTGGAGAAGAGAACTGAAAACTAGCGCGCTATCTATGGAGGAAACCAGATCGCCGTTGCCAAAGTAAAAGAGCTGCTCGTAAGTCATAGTTGCCTCTGATTCGCAAAATCTTTACCCAACGTGCCGGCTCTGTCAACGAAAATTTTGCGGTTTTTTGACGAGTAGGTTGCTGATGGCAGCGTCAAAAGAGTCCGGGTGTTCGTGGCGTGCGCGATCGAGGACGTCCAGAGACGTGGATTGGACTGTGTATCGCAGTTGACACCATCGGTTTTCCACGGAGGCGTTCTTGTCAGCGGCGACTGGAAGGTTGTCCAACCGTTGAGCAGATTCGTTACTGAAATGGAGATGGTGAGCAGCAAAGACAACAAGGCAATAATCAGCTTGCCTGACGTTAGCTCATCTCGAGGTCTCCTGCGAAGTTGCAGGCGAATCCTCGTGTTGGGGATGACGAGGCGATGGTTGGTCCACCCGTCGACACCCGCGATCGCCTTCGTCACGGACACATCCCACTAATTTTGCCTCCGGACGAGGACATAGTTCTGTAAGTGCCAGTGTAGCGACCGAGGATGAAACCAGGCAGCCTTCTCTCGCATCGGAGGCGGAAGCAGGTGTTCGTCAGGATGAGCCGTTGTTCGCAGCTGTTTCATAGAAGGAGCAGGTCGTTGTCACTAGAGCTTTTCCGTCCCTCTCTAAGCGAACTGGTTGCTGAAATACATAAGCGGCTAGCAGACAAATTCAACAGAATGGAATTTAGCTTACAATAAGGAGGAACACAAACAAACGGATAAATAACAGTTCCGCAAATATTCCCATGTTACACTTGAAAAGTCAAGTTGGCTAACACGTGTTTTCAGTAATTCTTCGTCAGGCCAATACAATTACATGAAGGAGTGAAAGTGTACAAAATTAACAGTGTTTATATGTGTCTCAAGATCAATTATGTCATTAACACTCATCTTTCCCACGCCGCCCGCATGACGAGGTCGGCGGGTTTTGGTCCTTAGGGCTGGGGGAGGGGGCTAAGCGAGTTTTTGAGTGATGCTCTTGGATTGAGTACACGGAGTACCCATCACTGTAATCAGGGATTTGAGGCGGCATGTCGTCATCACGTGAGGTTGGCGTTGGCCACGGCAGAGAGAGCGCTTGTGTCTGGGTTTTCTGACAGCATAGCACCGGATTCGTTAGCCGTATTGCCACTGCCTCGGCCGTCGCTAGTATCCGTTGGCGTAGGCCTTTAGAGAAGCTTGTTGGTGTCCGATAGACAACCTGAAATGCTTCCTTGGCATCGACTCGGTGATCCGTATCGATTAAATGTGCGAGAATAGAACTCGAAACCGATCGGGTCTCACCTCTGCCTAGCCAGGCGGGCATATGTTCACGCACCCTCTTTACCAGGCGTCTCGTTGTACGGCCGATGTATCCTGCTCCACAGGAGCAAGTGAATGAGTAGATGCACATTGATGTGGCCTCCAACGGTAGTCTGTCTTTACCTCCCAAACGTAGGAGGGGAGAGTTTGTGAAACATACGCGTAAATTCGCCGCGGGGAATGCTCTCGTGACAGCTGTAGTTAAGCGCCGTCTGACTATTTCGCTCGCTGCGTCCCCTGCAAAAGGCAGTCTTATGAATACATCTTTCTTTTCTGCAGTCGCAACAGTGGGCTTTGCAATGCGTTCCCCAATATTTCGNATGTGACAGCAGAATGTTCGATGTCAATGCGTGCAGTTGGGATGATGCTGATATGCTGATGCCTCGCCAGTCCCTGTGCGATGGACTCGCAGGCGATTCACTGAATCGATGCGTGACTGGGATGTACGATGGCATTGCAAGCAGGATAGACTTTGAGGCACTGGGCCGGTTTGGGTTGTTATGCTGATAATGATGGCCACGCTGATAGATGCGAGTTAGTAGGAGAGCTGTTAGGCGTTCAAGGTATGCTCGGTGGGACCTTTTTGCGGTGAATTCTGCTGTCGTAGATACGGATGTGGCGAATCAGCCCGATCGTGCCAGTGAAACGGATTTTTCTATCAAAAAAGTGGTTTCATAATTAAGAGGAAATACATGTTCCAAGGTGAAGAAAACTGACTGTGGAGTTGGGCGCTTACTGCTGGAGAAAGTGTCTTTTACTCATTTTATTTAGGGCGTTCCAGAACTCTTTTGTTTGCTAAAACACCCCAGGTATTTCCTTACCCAGTACCAAGCAGCGCCAATCTTGAGCTTGTTTACGACGGAATTCCGCAACGATGTGAACAGCTGCCACATAAATGAAGGTTCTGGGACCGATGTAATTTGGACTGGAATGGAGGCACGCCAATTTAAATAGCCTCCTCTAGCAAACCAGCCCATGTTTGTGTCCTGCCGCGGGCGTTGTTCTACGATGTAATTTGAAAAACATTTATGACAGAGTCTGGCGGCCTAACTTCACCCAAGCATGGGCACAGAGTAAAGTATTTAACCTGACGGAATGGCGAAAATTAAGTGGAATTCTTTAGCGTACAAGTGCAGATCCTATTGAGAACGGTGTTGATTTTGCATCGCATTAATTATTCACTTGAAGGCCAATGGCTTCCGGCTGTTAAAGAAATGCTCAGAAGACCGGTCATAAGGCCGTATATGGCGCGTGTGACCAGAGTCTAAAGCAATAAGGCATTCGAGGTAAACGCTGACAGAAGTATTCCTCTGTAGGTTTGCGAGGAGAGCGGTTTTGGAATGTTGTTTGTTGATAGAAGCGAACAGGCGAGTCCCAGGTAGCAGTTCAGAAGATGAAGATGCGATCACTGGGACAAGAAGTTTATTTGCCTGACGTTTCGGATTCTCACTCGAATCCATCATCACAGACATTCGCAGATAGAGGTGAATGTGGCACCAGGAGTGCAGTATTTATAGCACGTGGCTGCCGTGGGACCGTATGCGTACTGCAATTAACAGTTCTCACAATCGCCGCTGGGGTCGTAATTGATGCGGCGGTGGCTTGGCGGTCCGAGTCCGAGTTGTTAATTGC